TGTCGAAGATGGAAAAAAATACAGACCTGGCAACATTCATGACCTGGGCCTCCATTGATAGTGAGGCATCCAAAGTCATGCCCAAACTCTTCACCACTGGCGCTGGTAATAACAGCACCCCGTCGAGAGCTGAGAGTTGGATCCCCAATCCTATCCCCTCTCAACTCAGGCACAGGACCTTTTGTCTCCGATGGATTTAGTTTAAGCTAACTCTGTTTTAAACAACCAGTCACAGCTTCCAAGCCCTTGGCTAATATATTTGGGGCAGCATCTGGCTGGCCAGCCATCAACAGATACAGCTGGGTGTCATCAGCGTACTGGTGACAACCCAGCCCGACGCTCTGCACTAGCTGGGCAAGGGAGTGCATATAGATGTTAAACAACATGGGCAAGAGGATCGCCCCTTGTGGGATGCCGCATACCAGAGGGCAACGTAGTGAAACCCTCTCCTCCAGCGCCACCCTGTGTCCCCAACCGTGGAGAAATGAAACAAGCCACTGTAAGGCTGCCCCATGTATCCCCACATAAGCGAGGCGGTGGGTCATAAGATCATGATTGACCGTATTGAACACCGTGTCAAATCCAATAGTAACAGAAACGCCAATCCTCCTCAATCCAGATGTCTGCGGAGATCATCTGGGAGGGCGACCAGAGCTGTCTCCATCCTATCATAGGGGTGGAAACCAGACTGGAAAGGAGGACAGAGGAGTCATTCAGGAAAATCTGGAGTTGTTCTACTGCTGCTCTCTCAACTATCTTATCCTGGAACGGAAGGTTCGCAACTGGGCGGTAGTTGGCTGGATCTGTAGGATCCAGAGATGGTTTCTTTAAGAGTGGCTTCACCACTGCCTCCTTTAAAGCCCCAGGGAAAGTCCCTTAACTCAGAGGCAAGTTGATAATATCAGCCAGGGCATCCATATTCCATCCCCTCTGGCTTTCACCAGCCAGGATGGACAAAGATCAAGGAGAAAAGTGATAGGCTTCACAGCACACAGGACCCTGTCAACCTCATCTATGTTGGGATGCCCTTGAAGATAACCTGGAAACCAGTTCAATTATACAGCAGCTTGATTATAGTCTGGGGCTAGCTGGCGAGAACATATCTTGCCTATCTTAAAACAGCTAGCCCAATTCAAGGTGCTGGTTTAAAGCCCTTCATGGCCTAAGGACTGTCTCCTCTCATGTATCCCTGTGCGCAACTGTGGTCCTCCAGATGCCACCTACTGGGTGCTCCCCCTCTAAAGGGGCTGTTCTCCCCAGGCATTTCCATGATATCTCACACTTTGTGGAATGGGGGGGGGTTTGTTCCTGAGATGTGAGAGGGATGCTGACTTTAACATTTTTCAGGAGGTGCTGCAAGGCCATTTTATTCCCTAGATCTTTTAAATGGACATAGACTACAGGAGTCTTTTGGGGGACGGGTGGATTATGTGAGGGTTATAAAACATTTTGGACATTTAAAACTGTGATGTTTTAAATTGTGATTTGTAAACTGCCTTGAACCACATGGAATGATAGGATATAAAAATTTTAACAAATAAATAAAATAAACAGAAGTGCCCACTGAGGTTGTGTGTGGTCTCTCTGCTCTTTAGTTCTGACTGAACTGGCTGACTTTAATGCTCTGGTTTTCTGAACAAGAATACGTTATCTGCAAGAGACTGTTGGTATAAGGATGGCTAAAAAGAAGGATGGGTAAAAAGCTCCAATCTTGGCCCTGGGCTATATGCCAATAAAATACACAGCGGACTCTCCAGAGGTTAGGACTGCTATTATTTCTCCAAACACAGAATTCTATGCCTTTAAGAGAATTCATGCATGAGAAACAGAAATTTTAAAAGTTTATAATCACCATAATTTCTGTGGCAGAAATGACACCGACACTGAATGTCTACCTGTCCAGCAGCTGGAAAAAGTCCTCCTCTGTGTGCATGTCTGTGTGAAATCTACAAAGAGGTGTGTCTACCCACTGTAGACAATAAACAAGGACTTTCAAGAATTTAACTACACCAGCTCCACATCTAGACAGCCATCCAACTCCAACATGAAACTAACAGAAGAAATGATTGAGAATACAAGAGTAAACAGATGAATATTTTTCTTAAGAAGCCTGATAATGAAGTGTGTGTGTCTGTGGGTGTCTGTATGTGAGTGAAACAACTGCTGGAAGGAGGAATACCATGAGATGTTTGCCTAAATACAAGTTGAAAACAGCACAGAAAGGTTACTACTAACTTCCACTTGAAGAAAGACTAGTACTAATTAGTACTTGAAATGCACCACATTTTGCAAAAAAAAACCCCAATTTTTTTTTGTTGTTGTCCCTACCCCTGCAGCAGTCATTTTGTGATGGGTGCCCACTACCCTCTCCCAAAACTCCAAAAGCGCCTAAGGCTCAACAATGTTGGGGACCCCTACTTTAGCTGCTAGCAGTCAGGGAAGTAAACAATAGTAATCATGTATGGGGATAGAAAACTCTGCATGATATCAATGCCTCTTCCTTTGACCAATGAAAATCCATTCCAGCCATCATCTTGTGTAGCTTTGATAACTATTGCACATACATCTGCTAAAACATTTCAACCACTATGACGGCCAGAAACTTTCCAGTTTTTAAACTAAAAGCAGAGATTTCACAATCCATGACAGAAAAACTTTCTGCATTTACTTGATAAAATGTGAACTGTGTAGCATATACCCAGGGGTCATTTTGGGGGGGGGGCCGCGGGGGAACGCAGTTCCACCGGGTGAGGTGCAGGGGCGGGGCACATGACGAAGCCCCGCCCCCTGCTTCCGGCCGCCCCGCTTCCAGCCCTCATTCAGCCAGGAGGAGGCAGGAGAAGAGGGAGGGTAAGTTGCTTCCTCCCCGCCTCTCCCCACCCCTGCCTGCCTGGGGCCAGGGAGGGCCTTGGCAGGGCTTCCTCGCACTCCCGCTGGCCTTGCAGGTCCACCGCCGGGCCCCTGATGTCAGGGGGTGTGGCATATGCTAATGAGTTATACTAATGAGTTCCCCTAGCTCTTTTTCTACGAAATGACCCCTGCATATACCATTCTGCTCAAATGGCATCTACAATAATCACAGCATTAAAGGTTTCCCTTGCTCGAAAGCTAGTCAAATCTGACTTTAGGGGGCAGTGCTCATCTCTGTTTCCAAGCCGAAGAGCCAGTGCTGTCTGAAGATGTTTCCGTGGTCATGTGGCCGGTAGTATGACTAAACAGCGCATGGAATGCTGTTACCTTCCCACCGAAGCGGTACCTATTTATCTACTTGCAATTTCTTGCTTTCAAACTGCTAGGTTGGCAGGAGCTGGCGCCAAAGACGGGAGCTCATTCTGTCACGTGGCACCAGTGTCTTGAACTGCCGAGCTACAGACATTCCAGTCTGCAGCTCAGCGTCTTAACCCCTGCACCACTGCGGCCCCTTAGTCACAGGATTGGCTGTGGTAAAAGATTTCACTGATAAATGTGACTGCTGGTTGCATCAACCTCATCAATTTGTGATTTTATTTCCCATTCCACATGCAAGAAGTAGGTAAGATCCACTCATTGATTAAGCTGCTTTAAGGAATGGGAAAGGGGGTGAGTTCAATTCAGAACCATTATTAGTAGATGAGAGGCAAAGAGATTTTGCCAGAATAATCACAATGATTCCTTGAACTTACCATATGTTCAAGGGGTGAACATTAATAATTTTGCAGATGTGAAAACTGGGAATGTCTTCCATATGCAAACTGAATGGGAGCCCATGTGTCTATTACACATGCACAAGGAGATGTTATTAGAGGTTGTGCCCATAGGTAACAACCTGCCCAACCTCAAATGCTGGAACAAATAAAGGTGTTCAGGCCTGGAGTGCAATCGTAGCAACTCAAATTCATTTCTTTTATTTAAATGTCTATTTGTGTATTCTGCCATACAATAGGCCTCTTCAGGCAACATATCCTGGGGAGAAAGAATGTGTATAGAAAGAGACCAGAACATATTCCCTGCTGTCATCTGTGCACAATCGATTGGAACAGGCTCATGTTCTGGTGATCATGTGTATGCAGAGCACAGCACCGATGCATTTGTTCCTGCTCTCCTTCTACACTTGTTCTTTCCACTGAGGATAAGTTTTTTTCAACATGTCTAATCTATTGCCCAAGAATAGATGCTATGGCCAATTTTAAGACCTTTTACAGCCACAATAAAGTAGTGAAATCTCTCTCTCAGCTAGTATCTACTACTTCTCTCTCTTTTGGCTAGTATCTACCACTTCTATTGCCTCTGACCTATTGTGATACCAGATTATTTTATTTATATTACTTCATTTATACTCCACTTTTCTCCACACTGGGAACCTAAAGATTCTGCCAAAACTGGACCTAGAGCCAGTGGAAAACCTTGCATCTGCAGAAAGGCCTCCCAATTACCCGAGCACTCTATTTGTTACACTGTTCAAAGGCATCATTGGGTGCAATCACACACACAATTAGCCCCGCCATAGACGCGAATGCCAGGCAGATTTAAAGGGCGCGATCAGACACGAACATCTGGGAAGCGCTCCACACCCATCACCAACCCGTTTTGCTCCGCCGCAGAAGCAGAGTAAAAAGACACCAGTAAATGGGTTGCAACAGGCCACAGACAGACTTTCCTGTGTCTGGTTGCTCCAGCACGCTCTCATGGCGTCAGGATGGTTTGATCAGGCCATCCCGACTCCGTGCCGGTTCCCCCCCCCTCCTTGGTATGCGCATCATCGCAAACTCCATAGGGAGGCCTCAGTGCAGAGATACAATTAATTGATTCCTCGTTGAAGCGCATCGGAAACAAATGGCAAAAAACCCAAAAACCTGACTCACCCATGGTTGCATCTAATCATGCAGTGGCGGGCTATGCCCGCAGCTTCCAAGGACTGTGTGATTGTGCAACTGCGGGTCAAATTCCTCCGGAGGAAATAGCCTCGCTTCCCCCCCCCCCGCTTTATCTCGCATGTGTGACCACCCCCATTAGGTGTTTACCTGGAAGAAAGGGGATGATTCTCTGCTTGGGATCTTTCTGGCCTCCTTCAATAGGGAATTTATCCAGGAGCTGCATCTACAAAAGAAAAAAAATATTTTGCGTAAACACAATATGCACTCTTTATTTCCCTTCACTAGCATTCTGATCAACAGCATGGGATATACCTTGGAATACATTGACTAAGAGAGTTAAAGGAGAAGCTATAATCAAAGGCAGGGGAAAAAGAACTCAGTCTGGTGAACTCTAATGAAGGTTCCTGAGAGGAATGAGAGAATTAAGTCAGAACTGGGATAGGACCAAAGTCTGGTATTCCAGCAACTCCCACTTGAGCCATTCGTACTTTACAAAACAAATTAATAAATGGTTTGAATAACTGCTCTGGGTAGCAATCCTGCAGGGTCCACCTACAGACCACCCACCTACTGAAAAATGCTGCCTCAGAACAGCTAGAGAGGTTATTTCAATGAAGCATCATGTGGTTGTTGGCAGAGTTCACCTATCTCCCACACATTACTGTACCTCTCCAAGCATCTTAATAGACAGGCACATATGGAACAGAACAGTTTCCTCAGGGTTTGGAAATGCTCTCTGAACATGTTAAAACAAAGAGAAATCTCATGAGTGGAAGGTTGTTTCAACGTTTCTGGAAGACCCCTCCCTTTCTTACTGACCACACACTGTCTGCTTCTTTAACTTGGTGTGTGACCGTAGAGATCTGGCAAAACAGTCTAAAAATAAGATTAATAAATACCAACTCTTTAAAAACCTGAAATTCATAATCAGCCAGGAAAATACCCTCTGTACTCCTCGATAATGAGTCCACATTAAACTTTTTAGTGGTTGTTTTTATTTTCAATCATCACAATGAACCAAACACTGAAACTACAAAAAAGTTGTGAGGTCACCAATTCCTTTGCCGGAAGGCTCCACGGCTGGTGTAGGTATATGCGTTCATGTGCATCCACATGCCCTGTGATGACAGTATAAGATGCATTCTCAGCCCTGTAGGAACAGAGGTTTCCCAAGATATGGAGATTTGATGGAAACCTTCGAACGGAAATTCTAAGAATGAGAATTGTTGACCTGTACTATGAACATGCTATGATATAAAATGCAAAATCTACTAATTTCTTATTCAAAGTAGGTTTTTAGCTGTTGTGGCTCTGCACAGTTTCAGGTGGGTAGCCATGACAGTCTGTGGTAGAAGAGCAGATCTGAGTCCAGTTGCATCTGAAAGACCAGCAAGATCTTCCAGGGTATAAGCTTTTAAGAGTCAAAGCTCGCTTTGTATCTGAAGAAGGGAATTTTGACTCTTGAAAACCTATACCCTGGAGAAAACCTTGTTGATCTTCAAAGTGCTACTGGACTCGAATATGGCTCTATACAGAAACCAAAACATGAATGGGAAGTTTTTATTAAAGAACTAGAACAAGTGGCATAGATCCCTTTGGCAGTCTGGTGAAGCCTATGGACTCCTTCTCAGGATAATGTTTTTAAATTCATAAAATAAAATAAATAGGGTTACAAAGGAAAACCAATTGTATTGAAATACAATTATAAAAACATTTAAAAAACAAATTTGTGATATAGTAATAATATATGTGCTTCTTTTTAACACATCAAGTAACAAGACAATAATTTAAAATATAGGCGAGTTAAAGTTAAATTTTATTTTTTTTAAAGAAGCCAGTGTGAAGGCTGTTGTTGCTTAGTTTGAATAAGAACATTAATCTGCGGGGTGGTCTTTTAAAGGTTAGTGAAAATAAAGATGTAATTGATATTTGAGGACAGCAATTGATGTCCTATGATTGATGACAGCAACAGTTTGCAATCAAGCCTGGCCTCTCCTCCCCCCTTGAGTAAAATACAGAATATCCAACATAATATTCAATGCCATCTGATTAGTCAATTATTGCTGTTTTATTGTTTTAAATGTTATTTCTATGTACATATTATAGTATTTATAAGAATGTATTTATGACTTCTTGTTAACTGCCCTGAGTCCCAATTGGGGGGACAATGATATATATATCATGATGATGATGATGAGGAGGAGGAGGAGGATGTTGTTGTTATTTCCCTATCCAAGTTCATAGACCCCCTGAAATCTATCCATGGACCCCTTCAGAGTCTGTGAGCCCCAGGTTAAGAACTCCTGAGTTAGAAGCTGGGATAGGAGAGGCGGCTCATTTCTGCTGGCCTCGATCATAGTAGGTTCTTCACTTAGCACAGCCATAATCTGTGCTGCATCTCCTATACAAATCCTCAGTTTTCCATACTGCTGTGACCTCTCAGACTCTATCTATGCTTGCTTAGCATGACAATCTTATTTGTTTTTTTGTTTGCATGACAGTATGTGTACCAGTGCTGGAGGAGACTGCTGTTAAGTTATATATTTTAATAAAGTGAAATTTTATCCTGTCTCATCCCCCCACATCTGATGTCCTGATTTCCCCCCAGAAAACCTGTTAGTGAAATTGACAGATCTTATAGTTTTAGCTTCAGAGCAGACTGCATTAAAAAACAGGTTATGGTGGAGGGACCCCCAGTAATACACAGGAAGGTTTACACAACATAATCAATTAAGGTGGCCCCTCCCACCCCAGGCCCTGCCGCTCCCATTGCTGCTTGGTGGAACAGAAGGAACAAAATTAGAAAAGGGGAACCTGTGTCACACTAATGCCATGACATCACTTCTGGTGCTAACCTCGAAGTGATATTACCACGTTGGGTAGATCCAGGTGGTCAGCCGTGTTGCTCTGAAGCAGTAGAACAAATTTAGAGTCCAGTGGCACCTTTTCTTTATTCAAGGTATGAGCTTTCATGTGCACACACACTTTTTCAAATACAATGGAAGTTAAGGTTCAAACTTGTAGACGGGCCCCTGTCTATAAGTTTGAACTGTTCCTTGATTGATCTTAAAGGTGCCACAGGACTCTAAATTTGTATTACCCCATTGGGGCGATGCTCTAGGGTTCACCCATAAACTAGAGTTATGGGTAAATCCTAGAGCATCACCCCAGCACATTAGCAAAAGAAGTAACACCACAAAGCCAATATGATGCAATGTTGTTGTCCCTGCCCCCATAAATGAGACCTTGTTGGGATGGGCCATGTGTGTCATAAAATGTAATGCCAGATAGCAGAGATACAAACTTTATAAAGGACACAAACACAATTAAAGATTTCTTTAACTTAAAATAAAAACATGCTTAAAACATTAGCACTCTTGCAATATTTTGTTTAACAGTGTCTGATAACTGATGCCACTTGCTCTGAATTACTGCATCATAATGTCTGTGCTGTTGCAATCTTGAGTATGCTGTTCAAGTGTGTCTGTAAGCTGCAAACCTACTTTTGATTTATTCATATTCACTACAGAAATCTCATGCTCAGAGTTCTAAGCCTAGGACCCAGGGGAAAACATGAAATGGCTGGGCATTGCAAGCTTTTGTACATGAATTGCTTCATGTGCTGGTCAAGAAAATGAGAAGGCACCATGACACAGACTGAGGGCTATGTGTTTGTCTACAAAACTAGTCTTCCTCAGTGGTCAGTATCAGCCTAGTATCTGGGAAGTCTAAGTTCAAAATCCCCAAAGGAAATGTGCTGGGTAAACTTGGTCAGGACAGACACTCTCAGCCTAATCCACCTCACTGACTTGTTGCTATTCCTCATCTAAATAGTTCACATGGCTTTCCTACTGAGAAAGATTGGATCATGAGGGCATGAATACAGTGAAAAGGGGGAGGGAACCCAGTTGCATGCAGGAGAGCCACAGCATAACAAGCCCAACAAAACACACACACTGTAGCAAGGCACAGTGCCTCAGCCAGAACAGGGAACAGAAGCTTGCCTATCTATCTCTCCTGAGTGATTGAGAGAGTCTGGCAAAGCAAGCTATGATGCAGCACCAGCAGCAGCAGAACTGGAAGAAGAAGCAGGAGACAGCCAGTTTCACTGCGGGCCTCATAGAAGCCCTCCGGGGGCCTGATCCAGCCTACGGGCCACATGTTTGACACCCCTGCTATAATTAATAATATCTCAAGCCATACTGCCAAACCTAGTGAGGCAATACAGTACTACATCAGTTCAAACCTGAAGTATGATATAATTGCTAGGATAATTCCAAAATAATCACCATAAACCAGCACTTTAAAAGGCCGACACAATACTTTAGGAAAAAATAGGAATGGAATTATTTTGGGCAGAAAGGTTATCTGGATTCTTAGGAACAAGTGAATGAGTGAATTATATCCATACCAAAGCAACAAGTCAATACAGAAGCAGTCTAAAACATTTTAGGTCTAGGATCCAAATTAACATTTCTGCGGGTGAAAGGGCTTCCATCCTTGGAGGACAATTTTCCCACATACCACTCCCATGGCAGCTGGAAATGCCCCGTGTTGATCTCGTTACGTTTAGGGTTGTTTTTGACAGAAATCTCACTTGATGGGTTTTGAACTAACATGACCCATTGGCTGATACCAAATTTGTTATAAATTAAATGAATGGACTAATGTGACCCAGGTTTTATTTTGATGATTATATTAACCTGAGTCACTTATTGTGGGGATTGATAAATTATTTGTAAATGTGACTGAGGCACATAGGCAGGATTACAAAAGAACAAACACAGTTGTTTGTTCACTTCCTTAGCAGGGTGTAACACTTGTGTTTGACGGTAGCTGCTGTTTGAATGTTAAAACAATAGTGTAGTTTCACAACTTTCTGCTGCCTGGTCTGACACTGTTTCACTCAACCAATGTATGATAGCTTCATCTTTAGGAGTTCTCCAAACTGGCCAGACTCCTCAGGCACAGCAGTACATGTATATTCTGTTTACTTCCTTCAGACGACAAACATTCTGGATTAAGACCACTTTACCTTGGTAACCTTATTCAACCAGTTTACTGTGCCTGAGTCAGATTTTTACCACACTGATCTCATCAGTGGTGAGGCCCCTTTTCTCTCAAACAACCACTGGACTCTTCATTTGACTATCAGTTTCCCTCCCTCCCTCACAGCATTCTAAGCATTCTCTCCCTCCTGACTGCATGAGAGCCAGGGTGCTG